TATCGATATTAATAAAAAAGGCGATAAGTCAGCTTTTGTTTTTAGGAATTGCGCGTGCCGTACCTGAGCGCGCCAACTTTAGACGATCTGATTAGTTAACTTTAAACACTTATAATTCAAAAACTATTATAGTCTCAACATTTTGGTATTGGAACTTTTGTCTTAAAATGATCTCAGAAATCTACCCTTAAGCGTTAGTCCGGTCATTACGGGACACCCTGTATATGTATATATATATATTGTGACCGCACTTTTCTCTTTTGTCGGACTACAAGATCGGTCGTTGACCGGCACTAATCCGGCTAAATGCAGCGATTACATTAACTCGCAAGTACACAGTAGCCAAAAACGCGAAGTTGGGCGCCAGGCACGAGTGGGCGTGCCACCCTTCGAATTATTACGCGGAATCAAAATCTCGAACGCGGTAGAGGGGCGGTTCGTAGGGTGCGGAGGAATGTGGAAGAGCAAGGGCGAGATAGAACACTCAAATTTTGTAACAATTAACAAATATATTTGCGTGTGCTGGAATTCACAGGCGATTCGTTCGGCCGCGACTAACGCCGCGGCAGCCGTCGGCGGTATCGCCGAGGTCGCGATTCGCGCGCCCGGCAACGCTCCCGGAAATGACGGGTGTACGAGCTTCGTTCTTTCTCGACGTTGAATCCGCGAAAATATCTCGTCGCTGTACGCGAGTACGCCTCGCACGGCGTACAACGGATCACACACCACGTGGCGTCGCGATAATTCTAAGTACTGCCGACATTCGGTACGCTAGCACGCAATAATTCGAACACTCAATAACGCGAAAGAAACACAAAATAACATATAATTAACGCACAAGTGACCCGGCTGTGGCAAGGCGAGCGCAAAATACTCTACTCGATTCGCGTAACTCTATGCCGGGCGGATGGCACACGCGGACTCTACACACGAACATACATTTACGCGGACAACGAAACTGAAATAGCGCGATCCGCCCGACAATGAAACCGGCGGCTGACAATGGTAATCTCTTAACGTTTGTCTCACCAAGAGCGGCAGCTACGGAAGATGTTCCCTCAAAAGGTTTTCCTGCACTTGGCAACTATACGGGATCCTGCGTCCTGTCCCACGCGCGACCACAGCACAAGTGTCGCTCGACGGTCCTTCCGGCAGCACGCAGGCAGCAGGGGGTCACGCGATCGGCGGATAGTGCGCCGATTGGCCCTTGCCCTGCGAGCGCGACGCCCGCGAATCGCGGTGTCGCACGTGATCAGCTGGCTCGCAGCCGGTAGCGCGGACTTTAAATTAGGCTCGTGTCTCTCATCGAGCCCTGGCGTCGACCCTGCTCGCTCGTCTCGCTTCCGTACCATTCGCCGTCGGCAGCCCGATCCTGGCCAGATCGTGAGAGTCCATTGCCTCCGTATTTACTCTCGGATTGCTGAAATTAGTCGGCGACAGTAACAAGCTCGTAATAGAGAACATGGAGCTATCGTTCGTAGGAACTATTGTCTGACCTGCGTGCTCCGTTTCTCCCGCGATGAGCCAGACGTTCCGAGGCCGATGTCTCTCTCCCTCTCGCTGCTTGGTGTAGACGATTTCCTTATGTCGCCGATACATTCCTACGGTTACGCTCACGAGGAGAGAAAAAGTTACATAACGCGCGCGGCAATAGGATCGAAAACGCAATGCGCGCGGATACGCTCGCCTCCCTAAATCGGGGAGGACGCAGGATCCGAAACCGCGCTTCTTCGGTCGGGTGTTGCGACCCTTGTGACGGACGATCAAAAAAACGTCACGTCACA